GAAAGATTAAAAAAAATCAGCCGGTAACTTTTTGAGTTATCGGCGTGTAAACGCAAAAAAAGACGCTAAAATGGCAGATTTGACCACATTTGACCTCATTTGACCTTGAAGATATTGACCTAGGGTCATGAAATTCACACACAACAGAGTTCCCCATAGCCCCCACCTACCCTCCAAATTTCGTCTTTCTAGCTCCAGTGGGAGCTGAGATCTTAGGGGGGGGCGACATCCGCCCCCCCCTTCCACTGGGCGTAGTACTCGCAACCCTTCCACTGCGCGTGTTAATGTGCAATGCCTCTGGATTGAATAGCCTCATGGCCGTCAATCCCAGCAGTGGACGGCGCTGGAAGAGCCATTCTGTCATTGAGTGCGGTATTTTGTAACCGGCCCGCAATCATCTGCGCCAGTGAGCCGCTACGGACTCTTGTCAGCGCCGTGACGGTCCAATTACCCAGCGGTGTCCTGCCGACATCTCATTTGTCAGGTGTGTGTGGTCAGACGGGGCACGCGCCGCGGACAGACACGGCCTGACGAGTCATGGATGGAGCACCGCTGTTGAACTGACCGGTCGGACAGGCAGATGGATGGGTGGAGGTGAGCGAAAAAACAACACTCAGTCATGGTAGTGACAGCGCGTTGGGGAAACGTGGAATATTCTAAATAAGGAAATAGAAATGCGAACAGATCTGCCAAAATAGACGGGAAACTTAAAACATTCCTATTACCCTAAACCCTAATTCCTTAATTAAAACATTTAGTTAGTTAATTCCTAGACACTTAGGGAAAACCCTAAATGTTTTAATTACTGAGCAACATCAATAGGCTTTTTCGCGAATTTCTGTAGACTCGTGATGTGACTCAGACCCTCTCCATCAGCGGTTCTGTCGGCCGATTCGCCGCGGCTGTGGCGAAGTGCGGCGCCGGCTGCCGTCGGTGCCACCAACATCGCCGTCAGGCAGCGTCATCGGAGCGCGCCGGGGGCTCAGAGCCGCCGCGGGACCCAATTTCGTCCAATGGCCGACCTTCGCGGCACGCTGAATCAATTAACCGGCGCAGTCAGCGTTCGACTCACGGCGCCTTTATCCGATATGGCTGCTCCAGGTGGGTGGCTTTTTTAGAGACTCGTCCTGAGATCCGGCCGGCTCTGAGGTAAGATCGACGTGCCTGCGCTATATCGAGCCCGAGACAGTGCAACGTCGAGCCTTCCGCACGCTTTTTATCTACAGTTTAGTAGCAGGTTTGATGTCGGTAACACAAAATGAATTTAGCCGGCATATCTGACCGATAATAATCTGGCTACTTTCGTCATTCACAGTCCACAGAGCATTGCGACTTCTCCTTTCTTCTCTTATCTACCTCTAGGTAGCCACGGGGGGTTATCGGTGATCCGTCTCGATTGTGATAGCCGTGAACATCGACCTAATAAAAACGGATTAGTGTCAAAACGCCATCGGCTGTTGAGTAGCGTGGAAACCGAATATAGAAAGTGTCCTACGAAAGTGAAAAGCTGCCTAGCAGTTACTGGTTGCACGGTTGACAACATGACCTGTACCCTGGCCTGGGTGGTGTGACCGAAATCTATGTAAAAACAGTCGATAGACCGGAAAGTGAGCCTGCCACTATGGACCAATATTGTGTTTTTCTGTTCTCCACAGGTTCTCGTTGGAGTAAGTTTTTCTTCCGACTCCTGAGCTGTCAGCGCAGCAAGAACGGCTCCCCCGTAGTCACAGTAATGAGACGAGTTAAGGGCGTCAAACGGGCACGCAACTTGTGCAACAATTGGTCTCGGTATCTCATCGATCAGCAGACTGAGAACCGGTTCAATGGCGTTTTCAGTGTGACAGTGCTAAAAGCGGGACAATTCGTGAGGTTCAGCTTACAAACATTCGAAGCTGTTGACGGTAAGTTATGTGACGGAGCAAGTCATATCAGTTCTACATTCTGATCTCAGAAGCTTTCGGAATATGAATGCCATTGTTTGTAGTTGGCGGTACGTTTGAAGTTTCTTGTCCTTGGAATAGGACCGCACTACTTATGCTGGTATTTAGGGGTCTCGTCAACCATTCGGGGTGGACGGACTCGGCCAGAGCCAGTCAAAGACACGAGGACACCAAACTGTCTGCAGGCGTCAGGCTTCAGTCTGGGGCAAAAGCGGCACGCGCCACATGAAGCGTGTCCGTGTGAACTGCTGCTTTCCGTCTCAACTAGTTCAACGTTGGCGGAAAGTTCTTCTTTCGGCGAGGACGTTTGATGCTTTGATACAGCCGAGTCTTTCCTCCACACCGTTCGTGCAAAGCCGAGATATTCAACCTTCAGCTGTCTGTTTCTAATTCGCAACCAACCATTCCCTATTATCGATTTCCCAGGCTTTTGCAACTTGGTGCACACCATGGCTGACCCCACCCCTTCACTTCCATAGGGCAGGGGATTTTATGAGCGGCGCGGCGGTCGGTATACGCTTTCTGCGGTTCTTCTGCCAGCACGGCCGACCGACCGCACTCACCGCTGACGGCACATCCCAGGAACGTGACACAGCTTGGGTAATCTGGTGTCGGCCGTGGTTCGACCCGCCGGAGAGGATTATAAGGAAACTGCAACGGATAATGCACAATTATCGGAGACTGCAACGAAGGCGCTAGGCAAACACCGAAGACTGCGACGGAGACTAGGCGCATATTGGAAACTGCAACGAAAACTAGGTAGATATCAGAGACTGCATTGCAGACTGGGCACATATCACTTATCAGAGACTGCGGTGAAGGCTAGGAAAGTATCGGAAAATTCAACGAAGGCTTGGCAGCGTTAGGAAACTGAATGGAAAGACAAGAATGTATCATACTATCATAGTCTGCAGTTCTGTGGAGAACGGGCACGATCGCCGTCGCTCGCCGCTTGCCGCTCACAGACTATGATTTTGATTGATGGCAGACATATTGACGTTTGAAATGGCCGTTTGTTGAAATTGACAAATCACGTCATTGCAAGAATAGGCTTGGCACAATCGGTTTTGTTCTGCGGCTCATTTTTATTGGGATGAATGAGATGCTGAGCTATAACCCCGTCGGCACGACAAATCATTCTACATACAGCCACTGCGGCCAAACGGCTGTGTGAGCTCATACTTGATTAAACTCGAGATATCTCAGCGATCCGCCTCCGAGGCGGTAACTATGGAGCTATGATCATGAGCAGGCTCTGGAGCACAATGTATGCGCCCCTCCTGATGCAACTCAGCCCCGAGACCCACGCACCGGCCGGTTGTTTTGGCCATCGGGCTGGCGCCGTTGACCTAATCTGACCGGCGCATGGTCTGTGTGCTCTGTCAAAGGCCGGCCGGGCCGGCCAGCTCGCGCCCCCGATTCACGCGCACTGGGGGCGCACGCGCGTGTGCGTGTGTGTTGCCCAACTTGATGAAGTGCATGGAACTGTACCGGAGCTCTGTCTCACGGTCACCCAGAGACCGACGCCCGTTTTATGGGGCCCGGCCAGCACAGCGGGTATGAGATATTTGGAGCATTTATCTGCGGTACGGATTAGCGGTGGATTGTCAAGCTGCGACGGGAGGGAAGGCGGTGCATCTTATCATAACCGTCTAGGGACCATAGTAATCCACTCAAGAACAGGTTCTGGACGATGGGTGAGATTATGGGTCTGTCGTGCAAAACTGACCTACACCAACGGATTCACTTTCAAGATGTTTTTGTCGTGACGTCGAAAGAGTGATGTCATACGCGAGATTACAAGTCAGAATAGCATGATCGTTCTCTAAACACTTTGACAGTGAGTGTCCATTCAGATGACATGTGTTCGGCGTCTGAAAGGAACTGTTTATTCCAGTGATGGACGGGGTTATCAGATACCGAGGATAGTTTGAATGGGACACTACAATACACTCAGCATTCCTTTTACGTCTGAACCATACTAACTCTAGCAAAGGACAGTGTTCCTTACATTGTGATTTTGAATAACAAAAATGCTTACTTTAGAATATACAGTATCGCCTTTAAAGGGACCCTCCCACCTTAACATTAGATTTGAGTTGAGATAGCCAAAATGGGGTCCCTGGCTCACAATTACCGGTTTCGGCACTCACAACATCGAGAAATACCTTAAATCGGAAATATTGAATTTCAAAATTGCAGCATTTTGATTCAGAGGGGCTAATGCTTAGGAATACCCCTCTGAATGTGTGACGTCAGCGCAAATATCTAACGATTTTTAAATGTTTGACTAAAACGTTTTGTAGCACGCGGTGGTATATGCTATTTGCGCGCAACATCTGCCGCAAACGCCGCACTTCTAAAATAAAGTCGCTAGAAACAGCAGAGATCCCAATAAAAGTAAACAAAAGTAAAAGTCTAATATCTTGAAAACCGGTGAATATTTTTCGGTGAAATTTGGTAGATATTCGTTTTCGCTCTTTCTGAACCGAGCGACATCACTTTCATGCCAATTCATAAACAATTTTGAAGGTGGGAGGGTCCCTTTAATGCGAAACAACTCAAACTTATAAACGCTAATTTTTATCATAAAATTGCTTAGATGATAAAACAATATGAATCAGGGCTGCGGAGTCGGAGTCGGATTCGGGAGTTGGAGTCGGTCGGAGTCGACAATTCTGCCCGGAGTCGGAGTCGGAGTCGGAGCTGGTTTTTGAAAGCCGGAGTCGGAGTCGGAGTCGGATTCGCCGAAAATCCATCGACTCCGCAGCCCTGATATGAATGACACTATGCTTCCATAAAAGAATTATTCCCTATCAAGCATGAATTTAACTATTTGAAAAGACGTGTCTTTCTGGATTTGGCCACTAACAATTATGCAGTTTGTATCGTCAATCTGGATAAATCGAAAATCTAAGGAATAAGGTTGAACGACTCATGCAGAAGAAATATTGAAGTTAAACACCCGCTATACGTGCACAGATAATAACTAAATTCAAAATGTTCCTGCTAATGGCGTTTGACAAGGGATCTGGCAGCGTGTTTCGTGCCAAGACTTACCGATGACGGCCAGCAGCAGAACGGCGTGAGTCCAGCTCCTCATCTTGTGTGTCTGTGTTTCTCTCTGTGTGTTCACTGTGAGTCCAAAACTGACCGCGGCACTGACACTCGGCCGAAAATCTTTCACTTCCGAATGCTAAATCGGCCACTAAGAGCAGAGTTCCGGCGTGTTGTGCGCGCTGGTCAGAATCCTGAAACAGATAGGACAGACGGTTAGAAATATCACCGACCAGACACCATGACAATCTGCTCATCCTATTACTCAGAATTGGTTTACCTATGAGCCGATACGGAGTAAATTGAGTTAACTGCGTGGTCGAAATTCAAATCCTGTCTATTATTCGGCGTCTGTGATTGTTTGTAGGCGGTGTGTGGGAAAACAGAGTGGCAATTAAGCTGCTACCGGCAGCTGCTGGTCGTCAGTCTCTCTGCGTGCCGCCGTCAGCAGGGAAAGTGCCACTACCGGCTGCCATCAGCCGCCTGCAGGCTGACTGACACACTGATAATAGCCCAGAAACAGAGCCGGGTGGAAACTCTACCGGTCGACAACAACACAGCCGCCACAGCCGGGGGCGATTCTAAGGACCGACGCCTCCGGCCGAACCGCCCGTGCCACAGACAGCAGCGGCTGACCGCGCCTTATCCCACCGCGTCGAGAAAGACGTCCGTTCGTCCGTCCGCCCGCCCTCCCTATCAGCTCTCCCGTCCGACTCACGGTGCCCTGCGTGCGCCGTGCGGCGCGGTGGGTCGAGCTCGGCTGCCTCCTGCCTCGAACAGCGCCGCCGCTCGACTGACGGGCCACAGAGAAAGGCGCCGCCGGCTCGGCTCCGGCCGCGCGCCGCTGCCGACGGCCGCCACCTTGGGCTCTGGCCACCAGGGTCAGCGGCTGGCAAGGTCACGGGCCGAGCAGCGCACGAGGGCCCGCGGCGGCGACCGGCCGCCGGCCGACCGCCGCCGCCCAGGAAGTGACTACTGGCCGATGCCGCGCGGCTGGAGTGGCTCGGAATGCGGCCAAAAGTCGGCACTAATGAGTCTGCCAGGCGAGGAGAGGATGGAGGAAAAAGGATGATTAATTACAGCAATATTGCCTGATTTTATCCATATCTCCCTGAACCCGCGGGTACATCAAAGCCTTGGTCGATAACAAATTAGGTTGTTATGGAAACGTTGTGGATTAGGCGAGGACGTGATGAAACGCAAACTCCATGCCTAGCTTGTTGGGATTTTTTTTTATATCTGTCTCATTTGTATTTAAGAACAATAATATTCTACCCGAATTCCAGCTCACCACAAACATTTTCCAGCCCAGAAACTCACGCTGCAAGACTTCACACATTTCTCGAGACTAGCTCTAATGGACTGTGTCAGCTCTTAGATTCACATATCTTTCTAGTTGAGGTTTATTTGCCATTGGGTCTACAGTGCAGGGATATTTCTATCTCGCACTCCTCTGAGATGCAAAGATAAGAATTTGTTATCTCTGCATCTCTCTGAGATGCAAAGATAAGGTCTCGAGGGTTCATAGCCAAAAATCAAGAGTTCAACTGATGATGGGTCAATAACCGAACGGCATTTTTAATGGCTGTTTATGTATGAAACTTCTGAAATGAAAACAAACTACTCTTAATCTTTTTTTACATATATTAATACATTTAAATATAATATTGAATTAATTAAGAATAAACCTCAACATAGAAAGATATAGGATTCCTCATGGCTCACTCGTGGAAGATCGGATATCTTTTCCTCGCGTGTTACAGAAAAACCTCGCTCCTTCGTCGCTCGGTTTTTCAGTAACCCGCTTGGAAAAGATATCCTTATCTTCCACTCGGAGCCATGAAGAATCCTCTATATCTCTAGTGCATCGTTTGCAAGTACACTTCAGCAAGGTCTGGTCTCCACCAACACCATTCTTCATTTAGGGCTTAAATGAGATGTCAAAACATTGTGTTAGTTTTGTTAAGTGCTGCGGCTGTTCATTTTTCATCGGGCTTATCCAATTCCATCGAGAAAAGTCATTAGGCTCCCCTCACCTTTCACCTTTGTTTGCGCCACCCAATCCTTTACCAAATATGCAGTCCATTCGAACTATGAAGCTGTTATTGACTTTTTGTGCGCGGCAAATGACAAAAAAATGTCTTGAATTCCTTGGCAGTTATCATACCATGCCTATTCCGTACCATAGTATACCTATATTCCGTCCGACTGACATAACAATGTACGGTATTTCACTCATGCCCTATTTTGACCGTCGCGACCCAGGCACAGCCCTCAGTGATTGCTCTTATTCACTTATTGGCATTTTACAGTGACACTTGATTGGTGCTGTGTCTCCCCAACAGTGATGCTCGATTGCCACCTCTTCAGCACCCAGCAGTGACGCACCACCATCTCCCAAAACACGCCGTGACATTTTATAAGCTTCGCGTCGCTCTTCCCAGCCCATCTTTCGCCGGTCGAGATGTGCCGCATGGCTGGAGAGCGGGGAAAATCTTCACACAGCCTCCGGACGTCAACGGTGCGAGACGACCACACCGTGGGCGCTCGACTCTCGTTCACTCGGTGGTGCTCTTTGGGTGCCTGAATAACCTGGTGCGAATGTTCTGGGAAGATTAAACGCCTGCATCTAAAAGTTGTTGAGGGACAATATGGAGAAACTATTGCAGGTAAATTTAAGTCCGAGTATGATCCAATATTCCTCTCGGATAAAAATGTTACGGTTACAAAAAGATGTCATGAAGCCAATGCCTATATGTACATTCCTCTGACAGTGTATTGTATTGATTGTGGCATTAAGAACATTGAAATAATGCACCTGTTTCGGAATCATACTGTTTCTCCCACGCATCACCGAACAATCTAACTATTGGTTTGCCGCCAATGGTTGGAGTTATATACAACTGGCATCACAAACTTGTGGGAATCGCTAGAATCATTTTTCGTCGTTGAAGCAACAAAAGATCCGTATTCAAGTTAATTAAGGGTCTATAATGTAATGTCACGCTTAATGGTGCCACTATTCGGCAGTCACAGTAGCCAGTTTATCATGTCTGAAATGCCACCGAAGGTCGCCTATCATCTCAATGGAGCGGGCTGACCCACAGTCACAATCGGCCGGACGTGTCGGCCACAATACTGGGTGACGGCGCCCTTTCTCCCATGCACTCGGGACCTGCCGTCGGGTCACGCTGGTCGGTGGAAGCTCTTTACAGAGCCGCAGCCGCTGCCGGCGGGCACTGCTCTATAGATCACCACCGTGACACGGCAGAAGCGCTGCGGTCTCCGGCTGTCAGAACTGCCGGCCGTGAGATACCCACTGCGGCCCCGCCCCGGCAGCCCCGCCCGGTGCGGGCCCAATGCCCATAACTCGCCCCGTGCAGCCTCGGCGCGGGTCCCGGGAGCGTGAGACGCCGGTCCGGGGGGCGGCGGCGGGGGTCCGGACTCCGGAGACCCCGGAGCCGTGGCCCAGAGATGGAGGACGCTGCGGCACATCCGGGGTCTGACGGCCACGCCCCGGCGCGGCACGGCGCGGCGCCGGGCGGAGCTCTCCGGCCCTGGCAGTCCGTCTAATGGCACCGGGTAGCGCCACTGGACGTCTTGTGACGTCAGCATTCCACAGAGATACCGGATGCCAGTCCAGGTGACCACACACAAACGGCGGAAGGAAATTCACTGTGTAACTCAGGTTCAGTGGCCGCAGCAGTTCGCTGTGTCTGTTTCAGTTCACGACAATGAGCACCTTCAGTTTAATTTCAAATGACAAATCAGTCATTCACAGGTAACCACAATTACATCGATACCTTTTCCGTCTGACATTAAAATTTATCATAATTGCATGTTCACTGAATGCAATCGTTCCGGTAAATTCTTACTTTAAGTAGCGCTGCCACTCATCCATAGATAAAAAGCTTTTATGTTCGGAGCCAGTTTACTACATCTAAATCACTTATTGGAAAGACACGAAGCAAGGAATGGTGGCCGGTAGGTATCACCCAGCCACAGTCAGGCGTGGAGAGCTCTGGAAGCTGTGGGCTAAATGATTTGGGCGCGGCGTTTCACCGTAATCCATCGTCACTGTGGCTCACAGCTCACTCGATGAAAGCAACAGATGGCTGCTCCGTGGTGCCGGTAAACAAGTGTAGGAAAACTCGCCGCAGGTGGCTTTCAGTTAATTGGGAGACGTGAAATATGTGTCCATAAACTCATTAGGAGCACCTGAAGCAAAGTAATATGGGGCAGATGAACGTTGAAATGTCTAACACGAGCGGAAAGCTTACGATCATTATGGCCAGAAGCAGATATATGTATGTACATTTCAACACCAGCCCTATAGTCAAGCCAGCGGTGATCTTCACACTTACATACAAGATCATACGAAGCGCGACCATGTAAAATCACTTCCTCACATTTAATCAGCCAGAATTTAAATGCATAACGGACACTGCATCCCACACTGCAGCCCATCACAGAGGCGCAAAAACGAGTCTCTCCTTCCGTGACTGAGTCTGGGCGGGCTGTTTTCTGCTCATCAGTCAGGCTGAGCGGCCGCCGGTAACGAGCAACCGTCACGAACGCGTCGCGTAACGCCACGTCACCCGTCACGTCACCGGCGCTGCCTGTCGACAGTGACGGCCGGAGGTGCCGACAGACGAGTCGGAGCCGCCGTGGATCGCTCCGTGTCATCCGATACGACCGCCGACGGGGATGCCACCCGAGACCGCAGCGACCGACAGCGACCCCCCCCCCCCCCCACCCCCTACACCGCCGCGCCGTTGCCGCCGACCCTGGCTCGACGGCACGACACTCGTCGGCTGGGGGCCGCGTGCGTTCGCACACCCCAGTTGAGATGATCACGCCCAGTCACATCGGCACCGCGCCCCATAAAAACGGAGTCACAGTTGGAATAAGGCGACCTCACAATGGGGAGTAGCGCGACCTTGCCAAACGGACCCTCCCTATTACTTAATCATCTTCGGAATGTGCACTAATTAATTGATTCACCGCGGACTGATTAATTGGAGCCGGTGGCGATCGAATGGGAGCAGCCTGCGGCGGGGGCGCTTATCGGACCCTGCACTATTCAGTTGGACCCGGCGCAGAGCGTAGGCCGCCATTGTAATTCAGCGAATCAAGGACCATTCAACGCACCGCGGCACTGTGCCACTCAGCAGAAAATGAGAGCGACGATTCA